ATGTGTGTGTGTGTGGCATTCAAGATGGCATCGGGGTCTACGACGTTCAGGCTGGGTGGTTGACCAAGCAGGGGCACTTTAATCGCAACTGGAAACAGCGCTGGTTTGTGCTGGATGATGGCTCCAACACGCTGAGCTATTACAAGAACCCGGACGTTGTGGAGAAGGCCCCGCTGCGCGCCATTGCTGTACGTCCGCCCTCGCCGCCCTCCTGCGCTCTGCTCGTGACACATGGCACATTGTACATGGCACGCCCCAAAACTCGGGAGCGGCCCGCACCCGCACAGCAAGGCTCGGGCGCTGATGTGGCGGGTTGCTTTGCATCACGCTCCTGCTTGGCTTGGCTTGGCTCTACTTGCCCGTCGTTGTTGATGATGGTGCACCTTCTCGCTGCGATCCTGCTCACCCTCCACTGGCACGCAACTCAAAACACTTTTTCTCGTGCCCGCCACCATCACCAGCAGCCTTTGTGGTCTCATCGCTGCTCTGCTTTACACCCATAGTTGAGCAATGTTACCATTCAGCCACCCAAGGAAACCTTGGTGGTGACCAATCAGGACCACTGCATCGGTGTCGTGGAGAACGACTCCAAAACCGTGACGTACATGTGTGCCAGTGACGCCGGTGAAGCCCGCGAATGGATGCGTGCCATTCAAACGGTGGCGCGCAAGGACCGCGCACGGATCAGCGAGCTACTCAGTGGTGCCTCCGCGGCCGCTCAGGCCCCCAGTCGGGATGGTGGTCACAACAACACCAGTCGCCGGAGCCAACTTGCCGCTGAAGAAGAAGACTGGCCGACCCCGCTGGCGCCGGACGCCCCCACATCCCACGCCTCACGCTCTGCCAACATGCCACGAGCCGCCGCCTCCCATCGACCTGGCCCCCGTCTCAGCAGCAGTTCAGGCGACGTGATGCATGGGGCCTCCCAAGTCGACGTCACCGTGGTGCGCAAGGACTTGATGCGCGACTTTGTCGCCATCCGCCGCCGCCGCGTGGCCACCGGACGCAGCACCACCGATTCCCTCGCCCTTTCCCAGACATCAAACACCTCCTCCGGTGTTTCCGAGGTGGAGCAAAACCGCCTACGAACTCGACTGGCTAAACTGGCCTTTACCTCACGCCAGGGGTTGGTTTTTGCGCCCTGCCTCATGTCGCCGCACCAGTCCTTGTCTCTCGATTAGCCAACACCCGCTGTTCACGCACGCCGCCCTTGCCCCGAACCTTGTGGCAATTTCTCTAAGGTACAAAAGCGAAGAAGCGTTTGAACAAGACATGGTGCCCTGGCGCGAGTCCGACTCGTGCGTTCACTGCAACACACCGTTTGGCAGCAAGTACACCAGTTGGATGTCTGGTAGCGGTCGTCATCACTGCCGCCTCTGCGGGTACGTGGTAACGCTTGGCCCGTGCACTCTAAGAGGACCCAAATATATACCTTGTGCCCTCACGTGCAGACCACCCGGCGCAGACGCTGCGTTTGCTTGAAGGAAACCTGTGCCAATCGCCTTTTCTACGACGAAATGGTGACGGCTGCCAAATTGGAAAAGGTCCGCTTTTTCTTTTTCTTTTTCTTTTGTTTTCATTGCCGAAGCGCGCTCGCGCTCCAGCAAACCTCGACATGTTAATGCTCACATCTGCCCTCGACGTGTGTGCACCTCGCTCTTGGCTCTGGTTTTGGTAGCGCCCACCCGCATTTAAGCCCAAGCAAAACGTCCTGGTCTGCGTATCTTGCGAAAATGCCATCCTCAAGTCGGGCCGGGTCTTGGACAGCAGGTAAGAACGTCGAGCCTCAAAAATCGAGCCAAAGTCGTCCAGTCGAATTCAAGCCAGCCTACAGCGCCTCAGCCCACTCTGCTCCGCCGCGTCCCTTGCTTCCTTGGCAGTGCATCCCTGCAGGTCCAAGGCGTCAGTGACTTGCAGCGCATCTACCAAGATGTTGTGCGCCGCAAAACCCAAGTGGCGCGACATTTGGACGAGATGAAGGTGGCCACCGATAAAATCATGTGCGTCAATGCCATTCTCGACCCAATGTTCTGATATCTGTATAGCGTGCGCTTGGCCATCTTTGGGCCTTGGTCGAGACACCGGGCCCGGGCCAATTCCAAGCCTTGTCCGCGGCCACTCAAGCACACGACCGTGTCTCAACGCATGTCTAGGAATGGCTACACTTCAGGATACCAGTTGCAGTCTGTGCGTGAGGGCGCTAGTGCCGTCACTGCCCTTTGTCAAGAAATTCGGCGAATGGGGTGAGAAGAAGGGTCCTGCCACCAGCTACATGGGTGCACTTAGTCTTTTTTTTGTTTTGGCACTTGGCTTGTCTCATCACCTTGGTTGGTCGAATATCTTAGCGATCGTATTGCGCGCCTGCAAGTCAAAGATACCTCGGCGCAGCGACTGCGGTTTCAGAAAAGCGTGGCCTTTGGAGTAGCAGAGTGGACCAAAGAGCAATCACAAATCGCGGCCAACCTCCTGACCCAGGCCGAGCAGCCAGAGAGCGCTGGTGGCGTAAGCAGCAAAGACCGTCGTTGACCGCGCCTGTAGGGGAGTGTTGGGGAGGGGATCTGCGTGTTGTCGGTTCGAATTCAAGGACGTTCCAGATTTCTATTCCCTCGAAACCAGCTACACTGCCTTGCCAACACACACGCACGCACACAAACACAAAGAAGCGCGCACGCCCCCTCGCCCTCGCCCTCGCCCTCTCTTGTGATGCATGACCCCAATATGTAGTGAGAAGAAAATTTATCATTTATGGATTGCTAGGATGATGAATGATATTAGCTGGGAGGGTGGGATGATGGATCATGTTGCCGGGTATGCAGGACAAGATGCGTAGTGGGTAACAAACACGAGCGCGCACGACCAGGTATGAGCAGGGACGCCACTTGATAGGCATGGGTTGATGTGTGGTGCGAAGCAGGTAAAGGATTCACAAAGTCTAGTTTCTAGGTGGCCTTGATGCGGGCTCGCATGCTGGCATTGCCCGAGGTGCCACCGGTGTGAATGAAACAGAGTTTTTGGTTGTCGAGCTGGAGGGGGTTGGCGTAGTACTGCAGGGTCAAGAGGGTGCGAGGAAAGTAGACGAGATCAAAGTTGATGCCCCAGGCCGCCTGGGCGGCGTGGTGGGCTTCGAGATATTGGTGGTCAGGCGCGGCAAAGGCTTGGGGCAGGTGCGGGGGTGGGTTGAGGACCAAGAGCCGGCCCTGACCGGGCGGGGGAGAAAAGATGGGATGCACTGTGGCGAGGGCCTTTGGTGTGTCCATGATGCAATCAATGGCGAGATCGGCTTTGGCGAGGGTGCGGAGGTCGGGCCAATCGGCCCACAGCGAGGAGGCCCCGCAGTTGGTAGGGATGGTGCTGGGGTTGAGGTCTGCGGGTGGAGTCATGTCGTGACGAAAGGTCTTGTAGGCCAGGGCCATGTCGCGCGCGAGGATTGGGGCCGGGTTGGCCACGGGGACGGTGATGACGTGCCAAGGCAAGCCGCGGGCGCGTGTGGCCAGGTGGCAGTAGAGGGCGGTGGTTCCGGTTCCGCTCGGCAGGATGAGACACCAGGGATCATGGCGACCGAGGGAGCCTTCAAGCTGCTGGATGAGCTCCATGCAACCAATGCCGGCTTGTGGCAGGGCAAGTCCTTGGGGGATGAGGGCGGCATGGCCCGGGGGTTGCTGTTCGCAGTAGGCCTGTGCGGTGGCGGCGAGGTCTGCTGTTTTCTCGACGGGCAGGACCTCCATGCCCAGGTCGAGGCTGCGTTGGAGGTTGTCGTTGGGGTCGCGATGGGCCAGGGCTGGGTTGGGGAGGCGTGTCGCGTAGACAAAGCGCCATCCACGATCGGCACAGACCTGGGCCAGGGCTAGCATGGCGTTGGACTGGGCGCCGCCGTGGGAGACAATGATGGGATTGGCCAGGGCCTCTTGGGAGATACCCAAGCGGGGCAGGATGTCATCTCGAAGAAGAAAGGCGGCCTTGCGAGATTTGTTGCCCTCGAGTGGAAGGCGATCGTCCCTCTGCACGGCCAGGGCGGCACATGGTAGCAAGGGCGCCTGTTCTGGTTTGCGATGAATCAGGTCCAGGACCGCGGCCTGTGGGAGCGGCGGGGGCTGGGCCACCACCGACGTACAGCGCACCGCACCCATGCGCAACGAGGCGCGAGCGCCGAGGCGAACCCAGCTCGGCCGTGGCAGCAAGAACATGGTTGCTGGCTGGTCTTCCGATGGAAACCACCACGAGACACCCGCAAGCCCCTGCCAGCGCTCCGCCGCGCGCAATCAGGAACAGGAGCAAGTCGAGGGAAAAAAAAAATTTGAAAGACACAAATCTAGCGCGAGGCTCAGCACCAACCTTGCGCACAACTACGCCGCCAAATGATGCACAACGCCGCGAAATGCACTACGTCGCCAAATGCACTGACACCTCTGAGCTCCCCCACTGAAGCCGACGAGTACGACACACCGCCACGCGTGCCCAGTGAGAGAGTTCGACAGAGAGAGAGAGTCAGAGAGAGAGAGAGAGAGAGAGAGAGAGAGAGACGGCGCGTTGAGAGCTTGAAGCTGAGCGAGAGAGAGAGAGAGAGAGTCAGAGAGAGAAAATAA